ACATTACAGATGAAGAAGAAAAAGTGTAAATTTTGTATCAAATAGATTTCTCCAAACTCTAAAATATTAAGTGTATTGTTTTATTTTAAAATGTCATTTGTAAGAGGTATGATGTGGATAAAATATTTTATTACGAGGGGAGAATTGTAAAAATGTCATATTTGAAATACATTTTCACAAAAATGTTGTATTTATAAAGGCTTTTAAAAACTTTATATCCCCCCCCCCCCCAATTTTCAATCTTAAAAAGAGTTTCCATGCCTAACAAACTTTAAATAATAATATAACATAGTTAACCCAAACATAAATAATATTAAAATTTAGAGAAGTAGCATTTTGCGTTGTCAGATTGATGGCTCATGTAAGGAGCCAGATTCTACTTTATGGTTAGGATGGGTATGCATTCAACGTGATGAAACTTTTTTTTTTGGTGCGAAAGGTCTCAGACACCAGTGATCCCTCTTACATTCGGAGATGGAAACTCTAATTTGGGCGATGTCATGCATAATGGAGAGAGGATTGGAGTGGAGAGAGGATTGGAGTGTTATGTTTTTGAAACATGCTGTTCAGATTTGGTGGATATCTTTCGCAATCCGGAGGAATGGCCGATTTTCTCTATCCCCTCGGCAAAATTTTGGGAGATACACAACCGTTTTCCTCAACTTTCAATCTCCTTAATTTCTCGTACTTTTTTGTCAACTTTTTTCTGCTAAATTTACATTACGGTGAAAAATCAAGTTGAACTTATGATACCTCTGACGATCAATTGACAAATCAAAAGATGGGATACCAAAATGTGGTCAGTTTTTTCGTACTTTTAATTTAAATATGGATTGTTTGGCTTGTTCTGTACGCTTTGCACCCTCTAGATTTGTAGCTTTTTTTTTGTAAACAACTTTCTGCCTAATTGAATTACCAATCACCCTGGCATATTTTAATTAAAGTTTGGTTGACAAAAGAAAAAGAGAAGTAGCATTTTTGCCTTTAAATTTTGTATACAAAGATGATTTTGTACTTCATATTGAAATTTTTTTGACCTTTTCAAAAGATTAATATTTATGTTTTCAATTTCAGAGGATGAATCAAAAAACTTTTTTGGTATAGATATTTTCACATAATACGAAAAAATAATGATTTCATAAGATTATCTTTTAATATTCAATTTTATGACTTTCGATTTAAAATTACAATCAATACTAGTTGAGAAGCAAAGCCAAAACAAGGAATTCTAGGGTGTTCTTTTGCTAAAAGTGTGATTTCCTTCCG